GAGGTGCAGGGCATGGGTGAACCGAATCACCCACCATCCCGGCACCTTTCCCCGACGATTGACTGCAGCCAGGCAAATTGACAATCAACTTGGCCCGGCTCAGTCAAATCGCTTTTCTTCTCTTGCCCCTCATATATCCTCCGACAAGGTCGGGGCTCAAAATGTGCACGCAGCGGTCGCGCGTGCAAAACAGATCTGCCGCCGGCCGTCTCTGTACGGACTTCTGCGAAAGACCCCCTGCGGCCCCATCGCCGCCGCCATAGGTGGGCCGGTGCGGGGGGCGTGGGACTTGGTCGAAAATGAGGCCGACCTCGCTGTCGCCTCCGCCGACCCCGTGTTCCGTTAATGGCCAATGAAACCGCGGGCTGGATCCCACCCCGCTGCCGCCGGCCCGAGCCTGTAGAGGAGCCCTTGAGGGGCCTCGCCGCCGCCCTCGCCGCCCTCTCATACTCCCCGTCCGCGGCCTTGCTGTCGCCTACGTGGCCGCCACATCGGTCCCTGCCGCCCGCGCCGCCGCCTCGCCGCCGCCCCCGCCCGTGGTGCCGCTTCTCCCCCGGTCGCACCTAGTCAACCCAGAGGGGGTGGTCACGCACCGGGGGAGAAAGGACTGCCGCGCCGGCTCCGACCCCGCCGGACTCCCCTGTGAACCTGCCGCGAGACCTTGCCGCCGTCGGGCTGCACACAAGCAATAACCAAAGGTCCCACCTAGCATGTTAGTAGGTGATAGTACACTCTAAGCGGTCTTTCTTCGACGCAGCCTCCAGACCCTGCCGCCAACCCCTCCGGGCGCCTGAGCACTTGGCCATCCACCTCGTCTACCGTCTGCCTGGCTGCTGTGTAGCCTCGCTCTTGCCGCTGCTACATGGCACTACCTTGACGACCCCGACGGCCCCAACAAACCCCGACGCTCAAGCCCGACGGTCACGTGACTGGCCCCGACGGACCCCGACGGCGCGCACCAGGCAGCCCGACGCTGCTTCTGGACCCCGACGCTCCTCAAAAAATCTTCTCGTGCTGCCGCCATGCCGCCATGCCGCCCGGTCTCTATGCGTAGGGTTTGCCTCAGGCCCTGGCGTATCCCGGCACGATGCCGCTCTGTGCTGTAGGGGTAGGGAAGGCGCCCAGCGGTCACACGGCGCCCCCACCAAACCCACGCGATGAGCCCGACGGAGCCGACGGCACGTGACCCGACCCTGACGGCGTGTGCGCCCTCAGGATTCAGCAGGGAGGCCACCGCGGACCCCGACGCTCGAGCCCGACGGTCACGTGACCAGCCCGACGGAACCCCGACGGTCACGTGATCTTACCCCGACGCTGCGTGTGCCCAGCATCTGCCACAAGAGCGACAGTTGACCCCGACGCTCGAGCCCGACGGTCACGTGATGTGGGCCGGGTCGCCCCCACCGCAGCCTGGTGGGGTGATGGTCCACTAAGATCCTGAGCAGGCCAGACTACAGAGCCCATCTGAGTGCGCGACGGCGGTGTATAGCGTCGGGCTCTTGGCCGCATGGCCGGGGCGTGCGTAACGCCCCGACAGTGTTCCACCCGCCAAAAGCAGTCGCAGCCTCTGTCGCCGCAACCGTCTTCTTCCTTGTTTGACGGCGCCTCACCCCGGGGACGACCCGGCCCTCTCTCCTCGGGTCAGAGAGCGGAGTGGTCACGGCCATGTGGTGCCTGCCTGCCTCCTCCAAGTCGACCCCTCCCGCAGGGCGTGACACCTATCGCTGGCTGGCTGCTGGGTAAGGTTGCTAGGCGTAGTGCACCCCCTGGCGCACTATGTTTGCCGGGAGCCTTCGCTCCGCCGTCGCACGCCGGTCCCCCCAACACCGTCCAACGCGGGGGCGACCCGGCCCTTCCCGCGACACGAAAGCTGGACGGCCCGTGACGGCCCTACTTTGTGTCGACATTCCTAATCCCCTCGAGTCGATGGTTCCAAACCATCGATCAATCTCATGGGGGTGTATCGAACAAAACTGCGGACGCGGGCTTACGCTCAGCAGCTCGTAACAACAAGGCTACTCGACTGCTTACACGACCCGGTCCGACATCCCAGTCGTCTGCAAGGGTTTCATCCCC